CCCCCCTTAATTTAGAATGACGTAATATATGGACGGCCTCTTGTCAAACCAATTTCTATCATCACTTTACGGAGTAACTTTACTTGAATTAGGTATGCATCAAGCTGACCATTGTCATTGATACAGTTTTAACACTTTCGGCAACAAATAATAAGATTATCAAACTACACAAACTGAATAGTCTTAATACTTTAAAGAATTCCACCAACGAAGTAGCATTGCGTGCTTCACAATTCAACAGTGTCAAGATGAGTTGGTTGATAGCCTCTCTACGAGGCTGTTAGCTGTTAGGCCAGTGTTATACAAACACGGTGCCCAAATGACCCCTGACACGGTAAAGGGATAGGGAGAAAGTTCTTTGTTAGACTGCAAATGAAATTGTTCTCACCAGATACAAGTAGGAAATTTAAGTCACGTTTATGAATTTTAATTAACGTTTAATTTATAACTCTTCGTTGTATTTTAAACGTTTTTGATAAGTTAAACTTAAAATTGATTAACATTTTACTTTAAAGAGAACTTAACATCTTAATTCTAAAAATACACAAATTCTTGGAGAATATGATTTAAATCTTACTAATCTTACTGATATTATAATAGCGAAAGTTTAGATGGATGGATCGATGGATGGATGTTTGTTAGAGTTTGTAGCCTAAACGGGTGAACGGATCTCGATGAAATTTGGGATGGAAGTATAGCGTAGTCTGGAAGAACACATAGGCTACTTGTTTTTGTTTTGTTTTAATTCCTCGCGGACGGAGTCGCGGGCGAAAGCTCGTATTTCATAAAGTCTAATAAGTATTTCCTTCCTTTGAAGTTTCCGCGTTACAACTTTAAGAATATCGTTTGAAGACTAAACAATAGTTTATCAATGTCATGACAAACTAGCGTCGATATAAAAGAACAATGTATGATGTTACAAATTTCCTTTGGCGCCAGTGACTGTTTCATTTTTATAGCTTCATTTACTAAAATATCCGAAAACTAGCTCACCCGACTGCTTGTTTACGTAACCTACACTAGCTGCCAAAATATTGCCCTAAATATTCCAGCATTCCTTTGGTCGAATTCTGCATTAAAACTGCGGGATAAAAGTAAACTAGAACGCTTAAATATTCCTGTAAAAGAATGGTAACTACACATTCTTTTGAAATAATGCATATGGAAAAAGCCTAGAAAAGTATACAGAAACACATATAGAGGGTGCATGCCCTGCAAATCAAACTATGCTATTAGTTTTACGTTTCAGAGGAGACAAATTCCTCTTAGTACCAGTACAAGAGCCAATGAAATTGATAGCTTTTGATGTTAGATGAAAAGAAAATACTAACCACAACACATGTTAGCCCTCTCGCAAGAAGCTCGCAGCAAATAATTAATTTGATTTGTCGCCCGTCCGACTCAATCAATGAGACCCTTTAAGTACAATTATACAGGCTGCTCTTATTTTTTCCAATTTCATATTAATAAAATCCACTTAGCTCTTAAACACTTTAGAACAACGCATGAGAAATATAAACAATTCGACTACGTTACAGTTAATCATTTTATTTAAAAAAATCTGAAAGGAAAGGTACTTACGATAGTACAATTAATACAACTACACCGGCATTAAACTTTAGGTACTTTTAAACAATCAGAATCGGATGTAACATTCAACAACAAAAAAATCATTTAATAAGCAGATAAAAACGACACAGTCATCACAAGGGGAATTACGTTGGAAACATAAACATTTCGTTTATCGAACATCCTGTAGATAGGAACAAGTACTAAACCAATTTAATCGAATTGGCGCTCGCGTCGCCTCAGACAATTATCGTGTAAACATCGTTATGAAGAATTACGACACATTCAAGTCCATTACACAGATGTACAAACAGACAAATACATATGAATGAAACAGTTGAGACTTCGTAACGTATTGAGTATGTTGTAACATACATGCTTCAATTCCTAACTTTCATCTTCATTTACTATTTTATTGTGAGTATCAGCTCCATCAGTGAAAACGCACAGCTTTTCATTTAAGTTCAGAACATTGAAAAATTGTTTACAATCGACAATAAAATGCATAAGCAATAGTAATCGAACCGCACGGGAACTATATTACGAACACTTTCATGCAACAATATGCAATCATAGTATCTAGTGCAGTAAAATATAAACCCGTGATCTTTGACCATGCTCAGGATTTTTGCATGTGAATAAATTGCAATAAAAGCCTGTTACAGTGTCCCGTATACCTACGTTATTTAGTACTGACTTATGAAGTGTACAACAACAAATAAACAATCACCCAGAACCAATATCCTACTCAGTTGACTAAAAACTAAACAGACTTGTACACTCAAGATCCGCTGTCGCTTATGATTTAAAACAATTAGATTCTAGTTTTCCAAGTAGTATAACAAAGGCAGATAACGAGAGCTTAGTGCGTGCGGCGACATGTATGTCCGTTAGTACAAAGGTGAGTCGCTCTCTCCATGCAATTCTTGTGACGTAACAGATTATGCGCTTCGCTAATAATCTCGATCATTGTATAGTCATTTATTCGTTACTACCTGTTGCTCGCGATTTCGTCTGTGTGTAATTAAGAAATAACAAAAAAAATTGCCTCTGTTACTCACAGCTAATTACCTTTGTAATGGTGAAAAATTTTTTTAAAATCTGACTTACTTGAAAATGTAAATCTTTCATCTGTATATTATTGGTTTAGATTGTACTAGGAAAACTTTAACATTAGAAGTTTCAACTCTTTGAGATCAAGACAGTAACTAGTGTGTGTAGTGTCAGAACAGATAAAAAATTAAACGACGAAGGTATTTTCGCTTAAGAAGTTAAATTACGAATAATTTCAAACATAATTAATGAAAAAGTTACTTCACGTTCACTACATTTCACAAACAAAACTAGTCACATTAAATAACAGAGTCCATCTGTGAGTTAACCGGAGGTAGGAACTATAGCACGTCATAACAAAAGGCGCCTGACAAAAGGAACAATCTCTCGTCTACTCAACTGAGATGGGAACTCCCGAGCTGGAGCAACTGAATAATGGAATGCAAAGGAGTGCACGAATGTGATAGGAGTGTATTTAACGAACAAAGACTTTGCTCGGAGACAGTTACTCTCGCACAATCGCTAACTGACCACTACGGAAGTTTTATTTTTGTTAAATCTACATAATTTTACTTCTTTTTGAAATT